AGAAGCCATTGCAGGCCCTCTTGAGGATCTGTGCAGGGCAGAAGGCCTAGGCGTCCTGGGTTACGCCTACCCGAATCTCAACTCTGACTGAGCCTCAGTTTACTCCCTTGTGAAATGGAGGTAACAGCAGCACCCACATCATAGAATGGATGCAAAGATGGAATGAGACAGTGAGACTTCTTTCCACAGGCGGAAGGGCCTGGCACGTGGTAGCTATTTCCTTACCGTGTGTAGCTTATTTGGCGCAAACGTGTCCTGCCATTCTGTCAGCTCATGCCTGTCTTCCCCTCACCCCCACCCCCAGCCTTAAGTCACGCCTGTGGAAGGGAACACCTGGTCATCCCAGCAGGGGCCAGAGGAAGGTCAGCTCCCAACGAACAGAGGCGACTAGGACTCAGGGTCAGGATCCAGGTTTGGGATTCTCAATCTCCTCAATTATTTGGTACTGATGTTTGAGGCTCAATTTGACCTCCTCCGACCCTAAACGACGTCTTAGGAGAAGGATTGCTAAGCAGTAAAAATCCTTTCTAGAAAGCTGGCAAATCAACAGGGAGCCTGCTTGCATCCCCACACAGTGAGCCAAAGTGACCCGTGTTGGCCTCCGTGGAAGAGACGCTGCTTGGTGTGAGCAAGCCTGGGCTGTTGCCTGCTCACACCCACCCGCTGCACCTTTCTCTACCTAATTTCTTGAAGAGGTGTGAACAAACGAGCCAGTCACTGAAACTGATCTCAATTTACTTGGGTTCAAAGGGAAGAACCATAGGCTCTGCTGGCTGGAGGGAGCCTCAGGGGTTCATCAATGTCAAGCTCCAGTCTCTGAATTCAGCTCTTCAGAAATAACAGCCTCTACCCACTCCTGAGCGTGGGAAGAGACCTAGAACAGCATTGTTCAAACTTTAAGGTGAATTCAAAATGCAGATTCTGATTGAATAAGAGCAGGGTGTGCTGAGATTCTGCATTTCTCAGGAGCTCTCAGCACCTGCGGCACTGCTGGGTCCATGGGCACACACACCTTGAACATGAAGGCTTGCTGCCCTCAGAAGCTCCTGCTTTAAGAGGGAAGTGCAGTATGTGGGCAGACTGAGCTCTTGAAGGCAGGAGATAGTTGATTTTCCCCACCCGCAGTGTCTAACCACATTGTCTGATACCATCATAGACAATATTTGCTGGCTGGGTGGCTGACTGGCTGGCTGGATGGATGGCCAGAAACATATAGAGGGATGAGTGAGTGACTGCAGATCCTGAGATCAAATGCACAATTAGAAACAACTAGCAGCAGGGCCCCATGGCTCACACCTGTAATGCCCTCCCGAAGCACTTTGGGAAGCCGAGGCAGGCGGACCACCTGAGGTTGGGAGTTCGAGACCAGCCTGACCAACATGGAGAAACCCCATCTCAAAAAAAAAAAAAAAAAAAATCCAGATCAAGTCCCTGGCTATTGTGAACACAGCAAAGAGACTAAATAAATAAATAAATAAAGCTACCAGGGCAGCTTCAAACAAGTCTGAGTGTTTGGGCAGGCCCATAAGGAAAGTAGTTGCAAGGACAGAAGGCAGCCTCCTCCTCCAGGAAGGGCAGCTGGGTGTCTGGCACCCGGCTGTCCCTGGGGTGACTGCCTCTGTGCTGTGCAAGGCAGGAGGGCTGGGGCAAAAGGTCTTGGACCTCCCCTGTGGACACCAGCGAGCTCCCTTGGCCTCTGGGTAAGCCCTCAGCAGCCCTGCCATGGTGGGGTGGAGGGTTAAATAACCATCTTGACAGAAATGATATTCTCCTACAGAAAGTGTCTGAGCTCGGTCCACAGTCCAGAAACCTCACAGAATACAAACAACAAAGTTTTTTCAAGTGCTGCTGACACTTCTCAGAATCTGGTGTGCATGAAGCTCTCAGCTGGACAAGACCCGGAACACAAGTCATTGTTAGCGGAGCCACGGGCTCTGAGCTCCACCTGCTGCAGTCCCCTGGAGGAAAAGCTAACAAACTAGGAAACCAGCACGGCTCTTGGTCCTAAAACTGAGATCACCTGTGTGGGGCCAGCCTGGGTGAGGAAGGCTCTGGTCTTCACTTACAGGGATAGGCCACCTCGTGAGGGGCTCTCTTGAAGAAAAAGCATATGAAGGAAATCTTCAGCAAAATTTACAAAAACATGTGATCATGTGATTTCATTGCCGGGCCCTTTCCCAGGGCCCTGAAAGGAGCTGTGCAAATGATGGGCTCTGAAGATTCAGCTTCGTTGGTTTCATTACTCTGCCTCTGATCTTGACACATATGCTGGAAACAGATAAGGAAAGGGAAGAAGGAAGAGAAAAGAATTGTCAAAAATAAACAGGAAGAGATAAAAGAGTAGTAATGGGAGGGAAAGAAGAGAGGAAAAACAGGAGGAGAATCTAAATAGATGGGTGGGAAAGAGAAAGAGGCAGGCAGGACGGGGCCGAGGGGGAGCTGAGGCTTCCTCTGGGGGAATGGGGTTCTGGGCCAGGCACGGTCGCTCATGTCTGTAATCCCAGCACTTTGGGAAACCAAAGTGAGTGGATCACTGGAGCTCAAGAGTTCGAGGCCAGCCTGGCCAACATGATGAAACCCTGTCTTTACAAAAAATACAAAAATTAGCCGGACATGGTGGCTCGTACCTGTAATCCCAGCTACCTGGGGGGCTGAGGCTGGGGGATCCCTTGAGCTCAGGAGGTGGAGGTTGCAGTGAGCTGAGGTTGTACCACTGCACTCCAGCCTGGGCAACAGAGTGGGACCCTGTCCAGAAAATAAAAAAGAATGGAGGCTCTGGTCAGGGTGGTTTTCCCTGGCACCTGGGAGAAGTGGGCCTCTGGTCTCTCCAGGCCACCGTACCTCCCCCTGTAAACCTGCACCCCACCCACAGGCACCACAGCCACCCTGCCCAGCCCTGCTCATGTGCCTTCTTCCCAGGCCTCTCCACAAAATTCCAGACCCCATGGGGAGCAGAAGCCAGGAGGGCTGAGTCATCATCCCTCCAACCAGCCATGCCCAGCAGCCTTCAAGCCCAGACAGCTGCCTCTTTCCTGGTTCATCACCTGAGCACCAGGTGAAGCAATGCAAACCTGTGGGCCAGATGGTTAGCCTGGCACATAGAGGAGCCAAGACAACTGAAAACGTGTCTCCCAGTGGCCCACTGGCTTCTCACTGCCCTGCTCCTGGAGTCTTCCTTACATGGGAGGTGTCTGCCTGGATCATCACAGCCCGATCCCTGAGGTCACCTGAGATCACAGGCTCTTGCCTCTGCCCCAGACTTCCAATTCTAAAGACCACCAGCCTAGAGTAAGGACGGGCTGGGGCTGTACTGACTCCAGAAGCCTGCAGGCCAGCTTCAGATCTCTGCTGCTCAGAGACCAGTCCAAGGCCACACTGCATTCATCAGCTGAGATTTGGCCAACAGTCCATTAAACTGACCTGGTTTTCCTCCTGCTCAGACATCACTGGGGTCCTCCATGGGCCATTTTATCCCAAACGATGAACCCTGGCCTTTCAGACGCTTGGGGTCCATTCAGCCTGTCCACAAGGCCGGCAGCGTGAACCAGTAAGAGAACCAGGTTCCTGCCCCAACTCTGCCCAAGACTACTTCATGTCCACGAGCTATAATTTTCTCAGCTGGCAAGTGGGAACTAAATATGGAGGTGGTTGTTGTTGGAGAATTAAAGGGCTGACACACAGAAGCACCTTGTCAGCAGAAGGACTAACACACGTGTCTAACCCAGACTGGTCCCCAGGGAGGGTCAGGTCTGAGAAATGGAAGGAGATCTGGATTCATTTGGAACCAGACACTAATTCATGATGTGCCTTTGGGTCACTGACTTTACCTCTCTGGAATTTGATTTTGTCACCCACAGAACGGAGGAACGAAGTGGAGAATTATCCAAATCCCTCTCAGCAAAATATCTGTGGCTATAAGGTTTCACCTTGCACATCCCCTGGTCAGGAGACAGCACCAGCCATCAGGATATGGCAGAATGTGAATCAGAAATGATCCTGTGGGCCGGGCACGGTGGTTCATGCCATAATCCCAGGACTTTGGGAGGCCAAGGCAGCTGGATCAGTTGAACCCAGGTGTTTGAGACTAGCCTGGCCAACATGGCAAAACCCCATCTATATTAAAAATACAAATTAACTGGGCATGGTGGCGCACACCTGTAATCCCAGCAGCTACTCAGGAGGCTGAGGCAGGAGAATGGCTGGAACTTAGGAGGCAGAGGTTGCAGCGAGCCAAGATCATACCATTGCACTCCAGCCCGCATGACAGAGTGAGACTCTGTCTCTAAAAAACAAAATAAGACAAAATACAAAAACACAAATATTAGCTGGGTGTGGTGGCGGACACCTGTAGTCCCAGCTACTTGGGAGGCTGGAACATGAGAACTGCTTGAACCTGGAAGGTGGAGGTTGCAGCTAGCCAAGATCATGCCACTGCACTCCAGCCTGGGGGATAAAATGAGACCTTGTGAAAAGAAAGAAAGAGAGAGGGAGGGATGGAGGGAAGAAGGAAGGAAGGAAGGAAGGAAGGAAGGAAGGAAGGAAGGAAGAAGAAGGAGAAATGAAGAGAAAAGAACCCCATAGATGAGGAGCCCTGGGCTCTAGCCATAGCACCAATAGTTATTTTCAAAATATTTAACAGCTGGTGAGGCAGGGAGAGGAAGCCCTAGCATGCTGGCTCTGTGCAGGACAGCTTCCCTTCTGGGATCCAGGAAAAGGTGGCATATCTTATCCCCCTAAGAGGTGAAACTCCCTCCTTCTCTGTGGACTTTCCAATCATGTTGTTCCACACCTGGCAATGATCCCTTTGTACTGAGCTGCAAATTCTGTCGCCCAACCCCCAGACTACTCCAACTTTCCACAATCGCAAACCAAAGCACACACACAGTGAGAAGTCATGTACCTAGAAGGTAGGGGGAGGGGAGCAGAAACTTCTGGCATCACCCTCAGCCAACACCCGGTTGGGTGGAAGTCATTCAGGCGGGAAGGCTTTTTGTGACGTCTTAGGTGTGTCACCTGTTCTGAGGCCAAAGGGCCCATGAATGACTTCAGGTGTTGTCCCAGCCCCTAAGACAGGCGTCAGGTTACAAGACACATAATCATTCCAGTTTGGCAACTTCACCTGTCGGACTGCTTTAATTGAGCTACCAACAGTCCCCCAGTCACTCCTGGAATACGGCGGCGAGAGGCAGCAGCTTGCTAGGCGGACAACGAGGATGCTGACCTTGAAGGACCAAGGTCCGCCCAGCACTCGGGCCTCCTCCAGCCAGTGCTGACCAGGGTCTTCTGACCTGCTGGCCAGCCAGGACCTGTGCGGGGAGGCCCTCCTGCTGCCTTGGGGTGACGATCTCAGCTCCAGGCTACAGGGAGACGACCTGGACGACCACAGAGCCAGCATGGTGAGTGTGGGGGCCCTCTGCTCCCAAGACACGGGGAGGGTGGGTCTCCCCATAAAGGGCTTTTTAAGTAGCCTAAGAGGTCATCAACTGAGAATTTTGCGACATCTTCTAGGTTAAAAAAAAAGACGACACCCAAATCCCCCCCCCAATACCCCAGCCCTATACATGTTTCATACCCACCTGCCGCCCTCTCTCCCTCCACGGCCACGGTCCTTGAACCAGCCCACCAAAGAAGCCGAGCACACAGCCAGGGCTGTCCTTCCTGACTCTTCTTTCCTGAACCCTGCGTGTTCTTTTGCCCAGTGTCTCCAGGTCTGTTGATTAGAGGTTGGCACTATTTTTCCAAGGCAGGGGACTGTTTTGATGCCACGGTGGCCCTCTGCCACTCCCTGGGGAAACTGATTCCTTTTCTTTTTAAAGAAAACAGCACAGGCTAGGCGAAGTGGCTCATGCCTGTAATCCAGCACTTTGGGAGGCCAAGGTGGGCAGATCACCAGAGGTCAGGAGTTCGAGAACAGCCTGGCCAGTATGGCAAAACCTCATCTCTACTAAAAATACAAAGAATTAGCTGACCGTGGTGGCAGGCACCTGTAATCCCAGCTACTCGGGAGGCTGAGGCAGGAGAATCACTTGAACCCAGGAGCCTGAGGTTGTAGTGAGCCAAGATCGCACCATTGCACTCCAGCCAGGGCAACAAGAGCAAAACTCCGCCTCAAAAAGGAAAAGAAAACAGTGCAGAGATGCCTCCAAACAATCTAGGGTATTTGTGTAGATCTTTTGCTTGGTCTCTTTTCATGCCCTCAGCCTCTCTTCTCCTTCTCCTCTGAATACCTGAGTGTCTTCGCTGTCTTGGGGCAAAGAGAATTAACCCCATCTTTCAAGAAGGACAACAGAGAACCATGGAAGGAAGAGATAATAGCTGGGTCTGAGGAGGAACCCAGGGGGTCTTCATTCTCCAATCCTTGGCCAAGAGGCAGCAATTGCCCAGCCACCAAAGTGAAAGGGAAGGGAAGAGAGGGAAGAAGACGCCATTGTCCAAGGGGAACATATGTGACCTGCAGAGGCCCCTCAAGTAAATGTCTCCCATTCCCAACGTGAACACTTTCCATGACACTCTTCTAAAACTTCCAGCAAGAACAATTCCTAGTGCTGTCGTAGTGATGATCGAAAAGGGGAAGGGGCTTCCCTTTGAGCCAGGATCAAAGCACAAGCTTCCTGCTTTCCCATCCAAGGAGGCGCCCCAAAGCTTGGCCTGTGTGCAGAGACGCTGCATCCCCCAGGGCTCCCGGGTGAGGAGAGCACTGTGAAGCCTCCCTAGCTGTGAGCTGCTTCCGGGTGGCACTGAGGAGACCTGCGGTGCCTCTTGGGGGAGCAACAGAGAAGGGAATCAGTTCTAGGACAGGTCACTAACTGTAGAATCAGAAGGCTGAGGCCAGCTCCCTGACTAGCTGTGCTGTCTGGAGGCATTCATCTTCCTAAGACTTACCTTATCTCCTGTCCACGGAGCCGATATGACCCACAACACCCCCGCGCACACGCACAGGGCTAGCAGAGAGATGACGTGGCTAATACATGTGAATAGGTTCTGGAAACCATGAAACTCCGTACAAATGTAAGGACTTAGGACTAAAGAGGAGCCCACGCCAGGAAATGATAGCTGGGTAGCACACCCAGCACGGACCCTTTGCCACCAGGGAAGGAGCCAGGCATTGCTGGAGGAGTGGTGGAGGGGTCAGGTCAGGCCTGGGGCCCCAAAGGCAAAACAGCAGCATAGCCAGTCTCCAGGGTGCGGTCAAGGAAGCTTCTAGCCCCGGAGCTAGCCGTTACGCCTGTGCTTAATAACCCTGTCATTTCCTCATCATCAGACCAGGACAGCCATAGCTCCCAGTCCTGAGGGGAGGATGGGATCTACCGTGGCCAAGCTCAGCTTTCCCTTCCCTTCAGTTCCCTGCCTCCTTCCATCCCCACAGCACCCCCCTACTCCCACTGTCCCCACCCACAGTCAGAGTCCTTCCAGCTGATGCATCTTAAGGATGGCTCTCCCTGGAACCCATGAAGCCGGGTATGGCCAAGAAGAGCTGGGGTAGGGACTCAGGCCGAGGCAGAGGTCAGAGCCTAAGCCCTGTCCCTGAAGTAAATGTGCCCCATGCTATCTACCGTGTAACTGAGGCCTGGAGGGAAATCAGGGACCCTGGAACTGCCTATCCTGGCCTTGCCTCATTACTGTTCCGGAGACCCAAATACACCCCGAGCCACCAGACGTGGTCGTTAACACCTGAGGTCCACCTCTGACACTTCCGGCTGCTCTAGAGGAAGGGGGTCCTCCCTCTGCCTCCTCTTTTCTGTGCCAGCTTGCTACAGACTCAAGGGGCTTGGCTGGGCTCCGAAATGTGGCACTCAGCAGCCAGCCAATGGGCAGCCTATGGGAGCCCTGCGGAGTCCACTTCTGACTGGGGCACAGAGTCCAGGAGCCCACTCAGCCCCAATGGAGCCATCCTAGGCTCTGAGGTGGTAAACTGAGCCGGGCAGTGGGAGGCCCTAAAGGGCAAGACAGGCAAGGAGGGGCCCCTTGTTTGCCTGTTCTCCTGGATCCCACGCCACCTGGGTGATAGGGCCTGATGTCACTGTGACACCCCCACCATCCAAAGAAGCTCTGGCCAGCCTCTAAATGGGGCTGGGGGTTGTGGGGACACAATACCTAGGTTCCACCCTGCAGGTGCTGAAAACAGAGTGTGACAAGTATAACACCAGCGGTGATTTCAAGGTAGCCCTGGAGCCGAAAAGGCAATAGATTCTCTCTAGGGCCGTCAGGAAATTGTCCTGGAAAAGAAACTATTTGCACTGGACTTTGAAAGATGAGCAGGTTCTCTGCAGGCAGCGAGAGCAGGAAGGAGCTCCAGACACAGGGAACTGCATGTGAACAGCAAGAAAGAATGAGGGTGTAGGGACGAGAGGCCACCGAGCAGTACCTGCCGAGGTGGAAGCTGCATCCCCAGGCCCTGTCCATCTCACAGGGTGCTTCCCTCCTGACCTTGGAGGTGAAGGTCTGTGCCTGGGTGCTGACCTAGAGAAGGGTTAAATATCAGGGATCCTTCACGTCCCCAGGTCTCTCTCCTCCTCTCAGTCCTCCCTTAGTGTGGCTGAGAACCCAGCAGCCACCTCCCTAGCCCAGACCCACGCCAAAGCCCAAGAGATGCGAGGAGCTGAATGTAAGAAATGGAGAGACCAGCTCAGACGGGTAGTGGGTGAGGGGAGAGATGAGGAAAACAGACCAAACACAGGACTCAGGAACTGCCAACAAGCTTCCCAAAGGCCCAGAACCGTCCCAGGACAGCAGTAAACAAATGCTCTCAGGCCTGAAAATCTCCATGGCCTCAGCCTTCCCAGGTACCTCTTCTGCCCTCAGACTTCCTTCCTGCTCAGGTGAAAACATCGGCCTCAATAAAACGCTTCAAGTTCCCAAGCAAGGATTCCCCAAGACAGTGAACTCCTCTAAACCTAAAGTGCATTCATCAGCCACATTTTTTTATAAACCTGTTGCCTGCCACCAGAATGGTAGCTTCTTGAGGACAGGGTCTGTGTCTGTTCTGTTTTTAGCTGCAAACCTAGCCCAGGGAATGCCATCCATGGCATGGAGTAGGCACTTAATAAACGTGAATGAATGAATGAGTGAATTGATGGATGACAGGTAAATAATCAAAGACAGAATCCTCTATAGCCAATTTCTGATTTATCTGACACTGAAAACAAGGTTCACCCCAAGTCCAATTGGAAAACATGCCAGATTCTATCTGTGGGGTTACTGAAGTGTTTTTATCCCAGAGGGGACTGGGCATGAGGGAGGCACAGGTCTGAGCCTGCCTGGAAACCCTGGTGATAGGAAAGAGGAAGAATTGGGGCAGAGCCAATGTGGCAATCACCCTGAGACATGTCTAACTCCACCTCCCAGCTTGCTGCTCTTACTAACCAGCATGCGGGCAGCAGAGTGAACACGACAGAAAACCCCAACAGTCCTCCCCTGCCCGTGGCTCCCAGAGCACACTCCAGCTTCCTCGTGTAATCCACATGCAATCAGAAACTCTCAAAGGGTAGCAGATGAAAGGAACACTTGAGGAAGAGGGTGAGAGACACAATGGCCCCTGTCCAGGAGTGGGCACCTGTCCAGGAGTGGGCACCTGTCCAGGGGTGGCAGTGATGTCTCCGGTCACAAAATATCCTGCACATCAATCTGGCTGGGCTTCGCCTGCTGGTGCAATTGAGCCAACCAATAAGCTGTCTCAGTTTTTTCCTCTAAATCTGTATGTATGCATTCATTCATTCATTCATTCAGCATGTGTTCCCTGAGCATCTACTATGTACTAGGTACTGACAAGATACCATGGAAGATTCGGAGAATATGCAAAATCTAGACCTTCAATTCTGTGCACTCCGTAGATGGAACCGGAGCAGGCGAAACTGCTTTCCCACATCCCAGGCGGAGCCCGACACTCACTCACCCACTGATGTCCACAAGAAGAGGGCAACTACAGAGCTGAGGTCAGCCACCTCACCTTCAACCCATCTCCACCCTGACATCACCCACAATCACATCTCCAGTCCCCAGAGAGGAGGGTCCTGCCAGGCTGCCGGGAGAACCTGTCTAGACACATAGGAGTCACTTAGAGCTACAGTGGCAGCACGCATCTCTATCCAAATGCAATGAGGGCAGCATGTTGTGCTTTGAAAAGAACTTTCACATCCAAAATCTGCAATCAGTCTAATACAACTCTCTGAGACATTGTAATCCTCATTCTACAGATGAAGAAATTGAGGCTCAGCTGGGCACATGCCTGTAATCCCAGCACTTTGGGAGGCTGAGGTGAGCAGATCACCTGAGGTCAGGAGTTCGAGACCAGCTGGCCAACATGGTGAAACCCTATCTCTACTAAAAAATACAAACATTAGCTGAGCATGGTGGCTCACGCCTGTAATCCCAGCTACTCAGGAGACTGAGGCACGAGAATTGCTTGAGCCTGGGAGGCGGAGGTTGCAGTTAGCTGAGATCACACCACTGCACTCCAGCCCAGGCAAAAGAGTGAGACTCAGTCTCAAGAAGAGAAGGAGGGGAAGGGAGGGGGGGAGGGAAGAGGGAACTTGAGGCTCAAAGAGGTTCATGACTTGGAAAGGGTCATTTAGCCAAGGGCAAAGGGAAACCAGTGGCTATAATTAACTCAGACTTTCAAGAAGACTAAAGTTTCATACCCAATGCTGCTCAGAGAAAAAAACCCTGGAGACCATTAAGGATAGAAAATTGATTTAAAGAGAGAATATTATAAGTGGATCAAGATCTAATCTTATCTGTGGGAGGATACAAGAGAAATTTCAGACTGAAAGTGAGCTCTTCAGAATCATAGACCCTAAGGAAAGAACCTTAGAGGTCTTCTAGGCGACTGGGTTCCCCAATCAACTGAAATCAGATGCAGAACCCCCATACGGCACACAGAGGGAAAAAGAGAGCTGCAAAGTTTGAAAGGACTGTTCCCCCCCCAACCCCACCACCACTTCTGCCCTGCCTCCCTGCTCCTCTGCTGCACCGCTGGGGGGCTCTGTCGAATCCCCCCAAGGTGCTCAGAGCCCTCATCTGACCCTGGCCCTCATCTGCCACAGAAACCTTCACAATCCTGCTCACACTTCTGTTTCTAGAAGCTACAGTTGCTGAAAACAATCTTTCCTTTGCCAGGAGAAAAGACTTCCTGTAACCTTCCCCCTTCCTCCTCTAACTGTCTTGTGCCTTTCTCAGACAGCCACACACCCGAAGCATTCATGCTGCCACTGGTCCTTTCCTCTCTGAACTGCGTCCTCCACGCTGTCTTCAGAGAGAGTTCACGTAGGTCACATGGCATCACCTCCAGTCCCCTAACTGCCCTGGTCACTCTCCCCAGATGCACTTACTCCAGAGTCTCCTGCTGAAACCAGGCCCTGGGACCCATGAAGTCATAAAAATAGCTCTTTGCTCAGTTCCTATGACATACATGACAGGCTCTTTATAAAGCTCCTTCCCATTAACAATAAATAATTTTTGAGTATGAGTATCTACTATGTCATGAACTACCCAGGTTCTATTTTAATAACTAATAATTATTATTACTTTAGTAATTAATTATTATTATTATTTTAATAATTTATTATTATTATTATTTTAATAATTAATAATTAGTAATACTGCTATAAATAATTAGTAAAAGAGCCTTGCCTCTGGTTCACTGCTAGATGTCCAGCACCCAGAAAGGTGCCTTACTAAATGAGTAAACTATTATTACAGTTAACGATTATTGTACTCCTAGCTGCGCATAGTGCTTCATGCCTCTAACCCCAGCACTTTGGGAGGCTGAAGCAGGCAGATCACAAGGTCAGGAGTTTGAAACCAGCCTGGCCAACATGGTGAAACCCCGTGTCTACTAAAAATACAAAAGATCAGCCAGGAGTGGTGGTGGGCGCCTGTAATCGCAGCTAGTCGGGAGGCTGAGGCAGGAGAATCACTTGAACCCGGGAGTCGGAGGTTGCAGTGAGCCAAGATCGCCGCTGCACTCCAGCCTGAGCCATAGATCAAGACTCTGTCTCAAAACAAACAAACAAACACCACAATTACTATACTCTTACCATGTACCTGGCAATGTACTATATGCTGTGCATTTCTGGGGGATTTTAGGAGGGAGATTACTACATCTCTTTTTCTGTCTCTCCCTCTTTTTCACACACACATGAAATCGAAGCTCTTGGTGATTCAATAATTTGCCTAAAGCCTCAGGCCGATGAGTAAATAGGATTCAGACCCAGGCTGCAGGATTCCATGGCCTGTGCTCTGAGCACAGTAAAACACAGCCTCTCCTGGCAAATGAAATCTCAGCAAGGAAAAACTTCATGAAGCACTCAAAGAGTTCTGTGAGTGGGCAGGAAAGTGGTAAAGGAACTTCAGGTTATGCAACTACAAAGTCAGAGATGCAGAGAAGACACTGAAGCACTATTAAAGGCCTATTTATAGGATCCTGAGCTCAGAGTTCACAGGAAAGACATCTCAGAGCCACTGAGACCTGTGCCAGGATATTGGCTGCAGCAGCCACACCGGCCCACCAAGGCTGATTACCGCTGGGGCCTCCAGAACAAACGGGAATGCTCAACCCTGCCCCTGTATGGAACCACAGTGCAGACCCTCCTTGTGCATGTGTGGAGTCCTGCTCCCCATGCCTGTAGGGTAATTGGGGCAGAGGGCACTAATTTTCACTTACTAAACTCCTCTGTATTTCAAACGCCAAGCCAGGCACAGCATATGTGCCATCATTCATTCTCACCAACAACCCTGTGAAGTAAGTCATATTCTCCCCATTTTACAGATGAGAAAAATGAGACTCAGAAAAATTTATTAACTTGCTCAAGACTACGTGGCTGGATTCAGGCCAGTGTGCCTGACTCAGAGCTCAGGAGGAGCAGGATCAAGGGACAACCCCCTTCCGATCAAGGTAGCTGAGATCTTTCATACTGCAAAGACCAACCTAAGGGACCATGAGCAAGTCTGTAAAATCATGCAAGGACCAAATGGGGCTCCCGGGGGCTTGAAAAGGTGCATGGTGCTGAGCAGGTGGAGCGCCTTACCGAACCTTTCTCCCCATCATCCTGTGAAGTCACTTTTATCGTACCCACATTCCAAGGAAGGAAACTGGGTCCAGAGCTGCTGAGTGTCTTGCTCAAAGTCATTCCGCAGATAGAGGAGTCAGATCTTCTAACACCAAAGTTCCTTTTCCCTCCCCACCATTTCCCACCACATTCAAGTTTAAAGAACAATTCAGGACAAGCAAAAGTGAGTACGATTCTTGAAAGGTGGTATAAACTCTGTCTTTGAATTTTTTAAATTAACCTCAGACTGCATCATGGATGGCAGCTCTTCAGTTCAGGTAAATAGCAAAGTTGAGAGAACTCCTCTAAGCTTTAAGCTCCATCAGCCCTTCTCAGGGGCAAACCCGTCAGAGTCCCTGTCAGGCTGGAAGGCCGGACTGTGTGGCGGGACCCCTGTGGCCTGCTCGAGTCCACTCTATTGTCCAGGCATTGTCCTCAGGTGTGCAAAGACGGTGGCACCGCCCTTCCCATCAGACCCTTCCAGGAAGGGAAGGTAGGCTTGGATGAACCCGCCACCCTGGGACAGAAGGAAAGCTGAGCACAGTAGAATTGTTGAGAGTTCAGAAAGGTGGGAGAGAATGGGCTGCTTCCCCTGGGACCAAGAGAATGATCGCAGAGGGATTTGAAGCACTGCAGTAAACAGCGGCACCGCCTGGAAGCAAAGGCCCTCCAGTGGGAGCCAGGGCAGTGTTCAGTTTAATCCAGCCAATGGCATGTAGATACCTCAGTCCTGCCCTGCACATTGTCTCTGGGGAAAGAGCATAACTGCTGTGCCTCAGTTTCTCCATTTGTGAAACAGGGATAGTTACATCTTCACTGCCTCCCGGCCCTACGTGGGGCTAAGAACTACACCCAAACACAAAGGCTGATTCTTTAATGACAGGAGCTGAACAGCAGGCTGGCAGGGGATAATGGCAGGCTACCTGACCCCTTCTGCCCCAGGCCTGCCCTGGAGCCATTATGTGCTGGGATGGGGGCTGAAGTGTTCGGCTCAAATTGCCAACAGGTCAGCACCTATGTTGTTTAGAACAAGGCAAAATGGTTTCTAATGTGGCAGCTGAGGCTGAGGTTAGACGTAAAAAAAAAAAGTGCTGCTCTAAGCATGCCTAACACAAGGCAGCATTTGTGAGGATGCTCCCTAAATTCTCTTTGTGCAAGAGCTTAGATGCCCAACTGCATATGGCCTGGGCTGGTGGCCGTCCTGCCTGGAGACAGAGTAACAGGTGAGATCCCGGGACACTTGGTAGCAGGCACGATCAGTCATCTCTGAGGACCTCCCATGCACTCTGAGCTGCATCACAGCCAGGCTCATGTCAGGAGGCTCACTCCCTCCTTTCCTGCCCCATGATCTTCCAGCCCTCAGCAGCCCTCTCCTCCCCTTACCTGTCATGGCTGAGACATCCAAGAGAGAGAGCCCGGCTTCCAGCAGAGCAAAGGCATCCAGCTGCCTATTCCAGCTGCAAGTGGAGAGGACACAGCTGCTTGCAGTTGGTTTGGGGGAGGGATGTAGGTTCCAGGGTCAGAGAGCAGAGTGAGGCTCCCTCAGAGGAGCTCCCTGAGCATTGTGGCCGGGCCACACTCTGCAAGCTGACTGCAAGCGCCTCTGGGTCTCTTGGCTCACCCAAAGAACTTTCCCCACCCCCTCCCTTGGGTTTTCCCCACTGCTTGTCACTGGCCTCAGCAACCTAGCTGCCACCTGCCCAAGTCTCAGAGGACCTGTTTATCTCATCACCTAGCAACAGCAGCCTCTCTGGCTCTAGGTTTTCATATGAGATCATGGGAAGCCAGGGCCTTGGACTCCAGGGAAGACTGACGCTGCCATAGACAGGAACAGGGTCAGGGGGCCCCTTTTCTGTGCCCCTACTTTTCTCCCTTTGTCCACACTCGGGTCATTCCAGCTCTGCCCCTACTGACTTCTTTCAGAGCAAGCAATGCCAAGTCAGCGTTGCAGGGAGAAAGAGAGAAATCAGGCCCCAGGGACAGGCCGCTTGGCAAGGGAGGCAGACAGGAGCTGGCCGAGCTTTCTGTGCCTTTGGCCTCCTTAAGCTGCTGCCTCTTCTCCCCCTCCTTATTAGCCTGGTGGGCTTGTCTGTTTCATCGTGAGGGTATTAACCCTTTCATCCCATCTCTGAAAGATAGTTCCCAATTACCCAAAGGGACCTTGAGGTTCAGAGACATTGAGGGGTGTGCCCAAAGCCACACAACAAGACAGAAGACAAGGCAAGGTAAGAACCCATACTCCCCAGGCTGGTGGCTTCTCTGCAGCCACTTAATCTTCACTCCATTGAAAAATAAGAGCTGCCTTGTATCTGGCTTCATCATCTCTGAGCTAAAAAGGAAGCGGGCCCTAAGATGTCCATCCTATTTTTGGAGCTGAGCTAAGCCCAACCAGGAGGTTCCCCATGATCTAAAGCAGTGGTAGGGGTGGCGAATAGGAATAAAGGAAGGAGAGGCAGGTGAGAAGGGTGGAAACTTAATGGAAGAAAGGGAAGAATGAATGCTAATATCAATAAAACCCCTCCTAGGAACCAAGCCCTGCAATAGGCCCCTTTCCCAACATGTTCTTTGAGGGAGGTCTCCTGACCCCACTCATGGATGATATGGCAGAACCTAGAACTGAGCAAAGTCACTCTGCCTTCAGACCAAGGAAGAGCTGGGGAGATGCTGGGGGCAATCTGCGTGAAGATTTCATGCTGATTATATCCAGCAAGGCTGCATTGCAAAGGAGGAGTAATTTAAAAGGACCCAGCACCAGCTAATGACTGTTACCCAGATGAGTTTCTGAAACCGTGGGGAAATGAAACTAGCAGTCCGTGAAGTCCAGAAACTGGGCCCAAGGGGCTAGATCTGTTTCTTACTTGCTCCGAAGCCATAGCAGCTGCAGCTGCCTCTTCTGTAAAATGAGGATAATTTCTCAGGGTTGTTCCATGGATTATATAGGACAGCATTTATGAAAGAAGGACATCGTAAATTATATTATAATATCCAACTGCGGTAACTAATGGTTCTGCCTGCACATTTGTGTCTTGGATTAATGACTTCCTGCTGCCGGAAACAAACCGAGAAGCAGGAAAAGAAGATTCTCTGAGTTGATCAGGCAATGACAAGTTTTCTAGGGATTGAAACCCATCCACTTCCGCCTCCCCACCTCACCACCGCCCCGCTGCCTGGGCTCTGGGGGCCTGGGCATTCTTGCGCTTCCACTGTACTCCAGACAGCAGGAGCTTCATTCCCGGATGAACCCGCGATCAGACACTGGCTGGGCTGGACCCATGAGTCAGAGCTCTATGGAAGACTGAATCAACAGAGCAGTCAGGCCAGGCCCAGCCAGTGGCCAAAACAGAAAGGGAAAGGCCAATGCCTTTGCCTGGTCTGGGCTGGGTGTGGGCTGTAACAATTGTAGCCAGAAGCTGAGTTCAAGCTGGGGATAAATAAATACATCTCCAGCAGAGCAGAAGGAAGCGCATGTGTTGTTTTGTGATGTCTCAATTTCCTCCTTCCTTCTATTAACTCCAGGTTAAGACAATTCTATCTGGCCTCTGTTTTCTCATCTGAAAATAAGGAAGTTGCCTTGTTTCAGCTTTGCATCTTATAGTCATGACAGGGACCCATCATGGTGATGGGGTCTGCCTGGATCTCTGACTCTTACCTGGTACCCACATCTCTCGGCCCCATTCTGTCCTTTCCTTAGCTCCAGATTGTTGCTTCTGGGCTCAGAGGAGATGCAGCTGGCCATAAGTCCCTATTTCTATCCTGCTCAGGGATGTCATTGATGTTGATGTTCCCCAATGAACACTCACAGGCCTACTAAAATGCACCTACCTCCTCCCTGCCCATCAGCCCAGTATTCGTGACCTTCTGCATCTTCTCTTCCAGAAGGGTATCTGTCCATCATCTCTGATGTCTGTGCGTCAGAGATGTTTGCCAAAGAGCTTCAAGAAAATCCAAAGAATGAGCCACTCACGGAAAAACTCAGGCATGGTGAGGACATGAGTTTGACCTCCTCAAGCCACCCAGCATAGCCTGGTGATGGCTTTTCTATGTTCTCTTTGAGTCTTGGGTGCATAGCACTGGGGGAACTAGGATCTTTGTTTCATGGCTTTTTCACTTTTGTTCCTTGCAGGGTGCATTTGTAATAATCCTCCATAAACCCACCATTCCCAACAAAAGCTAGGACTTAATAGTAACCTACCTCTAGCCATGAGATTCCCACTCCTGCACACACATATCTGTCCCCCTCCTGAGGTGGGTAGGGGAAGTGTCTTGTGTTTATTAATTCAACAAATATTGGCTGTACATATTTCATAGACCAGAGACTATGTAGAAGTTACCCACCCAGGTAAGTTCATCCCAAACCCCATGTTCATCATTCCCTTGCTTCTCTATGGAAAAGAGCCTGTGCTTCCTTTTTCCCATAATATTACATTCTAATACCATCCATATTATTTTGTTTCCCTATAGTTCATTTGTGTTGACTGCAGCCTAATATGTCATTGTGTGAATATACTGGTCAGCTTCATAAAGACTGACATGAGATTCAGTCTTCAAACTGAGATATAATCATTAATTCTTTCATCCAACAAATATTTTTTCAACACTCATTATGCACAGTGCATTGTAGGAGACATCAGGGAAGCCATGGTTAACAAGATAGTCACAGTCCCTGTCGTTGTAGTTTATGGTTTTGCTTTAGTTTATTCTTTTTCTCTCTCTCTCTCTTTTGGTTTCAAACAGGCGTGGAATTTTTTCCCACAAATACTACTCAGTTAATAGCAATTGAAAACATATGAAGGGCCAGGCATGGTGGCTCACACCTGCAATCCCAGCACTTTGGGAGGCTGAGGTGGGCAGATCATTTGAGTCCAGGAGTTCAAGACCAGCCTGGGCAGTACAGTGAGACTTCATCACTGCAAAAAATTTAAAAATGAAAAATAGCTGGGCTTGGTGGTACATTCCAGTAGTCCCAGCTACTGGGGAGGCTGAGGTGGGAGGAGAGCTTGAGCCCAGGAGGCACAAGTTGCAATGAGCTGAAATCACAACATTGCACTCCAGCCTGGGTGACAGAATGAGACTCTGTCTCTCTCTCTCTCTCTCTCTCTCATACACGCACACACACACATACAAAATTAGCCACTGTTTAGTTCAGTGATAAGGACTCCAAGGCCCCAGAAAGTGCAGAATATAAGCTTCCTTTGTGCCTCAGCTTCTAGCACAATTCCGGGTCCATCAAAGGTGTTCGTGAATATTTGTCAAATTACCAATAAGCAAAAGAAACTGGCCCTACCTACCTCAATGAATGCAGGCATGCATGCACAGGTAGACTAAGTGGAAAAGAATGAATTGACAGGAAAGGGCCCACTTCCCTGCTCCACCAGCCTCTCCTCTAGCCTCTCACAGCTCAGCAAGCACCCTCTCACCTACGTACCTAAAACCCAAGAACACCCAATCTCTCGGCAAAGCCTATTGCCTGTATCTTTCAAACACCTGTGGCGTCTTTTAACCACCAACTTCCCTCTCCTCATGTCCTCACCTTGCTCCAGCCATGCCCATCTCTATTCACTTCCTCCAACCCCTCAAGCTGGTTCCTTCCTACTTGGCTCCTTCTTGTCACCTCCTCTACGGAGGCCAGCGAGATCCTCCCTAACCATCCTGAGCCCCTTCCTAGAGCTCCCATTCTCAGTCTCCATCCAGGTTCTGTCTCCTCTCACCCTGGACTTCTCTCGGCACAGCACCTACCCCTTTCTGATCTTTTCTGGTGTATCTGTATATGGCCTGTCCTCCCCTAACCCCAACCCTCCTCTCCACCAGGAAGCAAGCTTCTCAGGGACAGACCCTCGCCATTTTGTTTGGGCACTTTTTCCCCATCTGGCTGTGATGATTTCTTATCTGTCTTTGAATCCTGCCTGGTACAATGTAGATGCTTCACAAGCTTTTGTTTAGTTTAATAATTAATTCTTTAATGTTTCCCATCCTGGTTGGCAGACAACTGATATGGAGACTTTTTACCCTTGACTTGGCAAGTTAGATGAAAGGCCTTTGTAAACTGTTACGTGCCAGTTGGGTGTGAATTACTGTTGATATTATTGTAACTGGACTCTAGCCACAACAAGGCAGAGTTGCCCGATTGGGTCTTGTCTTCAGCCTGGAAACAGTCTCCTCCACCCAGCCCTGGTGATAGTGGAGGAGAGAGGGCTGGGAATGAACTACAATGCAGAGCTCAACGTTCAGTCCCGTTCACAGTCATTTATTAAGTCCTTACTAGGGTACTAGCCTGGTGCTAAACACCACAGGTACAAAGGCAATGAGAAAGTCATTATGTGACAATTAAAAATAAAATGTTAAATTTAAAAAGCAACCAGAAAGAAAGAAAAAAGAAAAGGAGACACTGACCACCCTACGGAAGAAGTACTGTGATAAACACTGCAGAGGTGCAGAGGATGGGTGGAACCGCCCAAGGAGTTCACCTTGCCTGCTGCTGAGACAGAACCGATTCCTCAAGACAGGGGAATTGCAATAGAGAAAGAGTAATTCACACAGAGCCAGCTGTGCAGGAGGCTGGAGTTTTATTACTACTTAAATCAGTATCCCTGAGCATTCAGGGAGCAGAGTTTATAAGGTTAATTTGGTGGGCGGGGGGAAGCCAGTGAGCCGGGAGGCTGACTGGTGAGGAATGAAATCACGGGGAGTTGGAGAGATCTTCTTGCACTGAGTCTGTTCCTGGGTCGGGGTCACAAGATCGGATGAGCCAGTTTATTGATCTGGATGGTGCCAGCTGACCCATCAAGTGCAGGGTCTGCAAAATATCTCAAGCACTGATCTTAGGAGCAGTTTGGGGAGGGTCAGAATCTTGTAGCCTCCAGCTGCATGACTCCTAAACCACAATCTCTCATCTTGTGGCTAATGTTACAGTCTAGTCCCCAGCCAAGAAGGAGGTCTGCTTTGGGAAAGGGCTGTCACTGACTTTATTTAAACAATAAACTAAGGAACGAAGACAGCTTGGAGGTTAGAAGCAAGATGGAGTTGGCTGAGTTAGATCTCTTTCACTGTCTCCATCATCATTTTGCAAAGGCAGTTTCGATGGGAAGGCAGACGAAAGGAAGTCCCCATGTGAGAGCCCAGCATTTCCCACCAGATAACTCATGTAATCCTCATAGTAGTCTTTTGAGGCCCGTTTTATTGTCCCCACTCTATAGAGGGTAAGCCTGGAGCTCAGAGAGGTGAAGGATCTTGCCTGAAAGCACACAGTTAACAAGAGGCAGGGCTTGTATTCTGACTCGGCCCTTGCAGACTGCAGAGCCTGGCTGTGTGCTATACCACTCAGCTGCCCATGGCCTAGAGGCACCCAAGGGCAAGGCTGAGCATGTTCCTCCAGCAGGCTACAGGTTCAAGTTCAAGGGGAAAAGAAAGAGCTTCTCCCAATTGCTGTGTCCACTATGTTTAGCCATGGAGCAGGCAATGCCCAGTGACCCTCCCTCCATATCTAATCTGGGTCACCCACCAGGGATTAAAAGAGGCCCTCTCACTCCCAAGAGGAGCAGAAAAAATCTCCAGCCGGAAATGTACAAGGTCCTGTCACTCCTCCAACCGCCACCAAGGCGGGTCATGACCTCAGCACCATAGGGCAGGCAAGTCCCTGGATGGAGACCCAGACCACAGGCAGGGCAGCTGCCTTCATCTAGCCCAGGAGTCCAAAACCAGACCAGACCTGGAAAATGAAGAAAGAGAAGGAAGCTTTCTGGGAGGCCTGAGTGAGTGAGGGGTGGGATCGGAGGTCGTGAACCTGGACAGCACCCTGCCTTTAACCTCTGCCTGGCAGCAAGGGTGTACGTGTACTTTGTATGCAAGCCTTTGTGTCAGAGGCTCCTGCAGGTGACTCTATGTGTCTGTGTGTGTGCTGAGTGTGTTGTACCCGAGCGAGTCAAGGAATGCACCACACTCTGAGAATGAATTATGAGTCCTTTATTAAGCCGGCGACCGAGAGTGGCTAACGTCCAAAATTCTCTCAGCCCCAAAGAAAAAGTTAGGTGATCTTTTATACACTAGTTTTAACAGGAAGGGGGGAACCTAGCTGAAACAAAGTTTTCACAAGGGCAGGGTAAGCAAAGAGTTAAAAAGAAAAACTGATACCTAAGAAATAAAACAGTGCCAGTGTGAGGGGTACAGCTGTCATGAAAGACATACAACGTAGAGACAAGGCGGGCTCTGGGCGCTCACTGCAGCTGCGTTTCCAGGCTCCGCGGGTACCACTGTACTCGGCCTCTTATCAACAAAGGCATTTCTGGGTGCCCAGAGTCAGCCTGACCTTGCTTTATACTATAGTTACATACTTGATGGGGAGAAGGTTACTAAAATGCAGAAGCCAAGATGGAGTCTGTTCAGCTCAAAAAGGCTAACATAAAACCTGAACAACTTTTAGTCAGGGAAAGGAGAGTTCGTTTCAGCTGGCAAAAAGCAGGGTATCACAAATGCACACATGAAGTGGTGTGAGTAGAAATGCCTTTGCATGTATTTGTGCACATGCGTCGATGGTGGCCTAAGACCAGCATCTAAGATCACCTAAGACCACCACTCAGAAATATCATAGTGTTGGTAGCATATATGTAGTAAGGCGCTCAGATCTAAACTCTACCACCCGGTGAACATCTGCACATATAAACACCCATGTAACCAACGCCGAGAACAAGAAGCGGAAGTTGTCCAGTGTTCCAGAAGACCGCACTGTGCTCCTTCCAGTCACTAATTGCCCCTCCCCAATGATAACTACTATTCCGACCTCTAGCACTATAGATTAACTTTGCCTTTTAAACTTTATATAAACGGAATCGTACTTTTTGTGGCTAGCTTCTATCCTTCATCATTGTGTTTGTGGAATTCAACCATGTCATTGTCTTTAGCACCAGTTTATTCTTGTCTATTGCTGAGTTATGTGGTATGAAAATACCACAATTTTGTCTACTCTACCAGTGACTGACATTTGAGTTTTTCCAATGTTTAGCTATTGTGAATGAAGCAACTATAATTTTTCATGTGCAGATATTTTTTTTTTTTTTGCTAGACATTTGTATTCATTTGGCTATACCCTGGAGCTGAATTGCTGGGCCACAGATCATAGGATTATAAAATAGTTGTATGTTTAGCAATAGTGAATTCAGCCAAACCATTTTCCAAAGGATTTGTACCAATTTACACTCCCACCAACAAGGTCTGAGAGCTCCTGTTGCCCCACATTCTCCACACGGAATTGTAAATCTTTTTTTTTAATTATTATTATTTTTTAATTGCATTTTAGGTTTTGGGGTACATGTGAAGAACATGCAAGATTGTTGCATAGGTACACACCTGGCAGTGTGACTTGCTGCCTTCCTCCCCTTCACCTATATCTGGCATTTCTCCCCATGCTATCTCTCCCCACCTCCCCAATCCCCACAGTGCCTCCCCTACTTCCCCCCGCAACAGACCCCAGTGTGTAGTGCTCCCCTCCCTGTGTCCATGTGTTCTCATTGTTCAACACCCGCCTATGAGTGAGAAAATGCGGTGTTTGATTTTCTGCTCTTGTGTTAGTTTGCTGAGAATGATGGTTTCCAGGTTCATCCATGTCCCTACAAAGGACACGAACTCATCATTTTTGATGGCTGCATAATATTCCATGGTGTATATGTGCCACATTTTCCCTATCCAGTCTATCGTCGATGGGCATTTGGGTTGGTTCCAGGTCTTTGCTATTGTAAACAGTGCTGCAATGAACATTCGTGTGCACGTGTCCTTATAGTTTAACGAGTTATAATCCTTTGGATATATACCCAGTAATGGGATTGCTTGGTCAAATGGAATTTCTATTTCTAGGTCCTTAAGGAATTGCCACACTGTCTTCCACAATGGTTGAACTAATTTACACTCCCACCAACAGTGTAAAAGTGTTCCTATTTCTCCACATCCTCTCCAGCATCTGTTGTCTCTAGATTATTTAATGATCACCATTCTAACTGGGGAGAGATGGTATCTCAGTGTAGTTTTGATTTGCATTTCTCTAATGACCAGTGATGATGAGCATTTTTTCATATGTTTGTAGCGCAAAAAAGGATGAAAACACCCAAAACCAGAACACCTCTCCTACTACAAGGGATAGAAGTCTTTTTAATTTTAGCGATTTAGTGTTTATGTAGAGATATTTTATCGTGGTTTGAATTTGCATTTGTCTGATAAGCAATGATATTAAGCATTTTTTGGTACTTATCGGCCAGTTGGGCATTCCCTTTTGTAAAATGTCTATTCAAGTTTTTACAGAAATACAATGTTACTGTATTTTACAGAAACACAGTAAAAATAGACAAATTATTGACAAAAACAGACAGTGGAGCAGAATCATCTTGAGGAATTCAGCAATTTACGCAACAAACCGGCAACCAGTTGCTTCTACAATTGCTAACCAGTTGCTACAATTAGTAAACTAATTGAAACAAATCAAGTAGGTGCATGACTGAATGTTTCCTGTTGAACCAGGTATTTGGATAACACAGAGACCACCAACTTAGACTCAGGGAGAAGGGAATGCAGACAAGACCCAAGAACCTCCCCTAGGCAGCTAGCTCCAGCCTGAGAGGTTCCCGCCTCAACTCACCGACTGTTTTTCCTTCATTTACAGGATCCTGACAGTGATCAGCCTCTGAACAGCCTCGGTAAGTAAGTTCAGGTCCAGCCTTCATTAGTCCACCTTAGCCTCTGAGTTTCAGTTACCAACTCGATCCTAAGCCACTCTTGCCTGGCCCTCACCACTGCCACCAAAGTGCTAACTGCTATGGGTGACATCCAGCCACCCATCCATCCATCATTCAGCAAACATTCCAGGATTCATTCTAGAAGTAGGAGGTCTGGTCTCTGGGGAAACAGGACCAACAAACCTAAAATCCCCAAAGCAATGATTCTCCAATTCATCCATTCAATTACTCTTACCCTTTTAGTAAAACTATAAGTAGCTGCCATGTGCCAGGCCCTGGGCTGGATGCTGGGCGATCACAGTAATTAAGACAGCTGAAGTCTCTGTTCTCATGGAGTTCACAATGGCACCATGCCGCCAAGGAACAAGCTGGCCAGAGGCATTTTCATGAAAAATGGCAGTGCTTGCCTGACTTCCAGGGGAAGAAAAATAAGTTAATAAATAGAACAATCCCAAATTTAAGGAGATATTTTTCTTCCATTACAGTTTCTTAAACCATTGATATCTACTCCTGATAGCCTGCTGGATCGGCAAAACAAATGATCAAGGAACACATTAATATGAACAGATCAATAAGAAAATGGCCAATCCTGCTTACTTTGACAGGTTATTTATTTCCCAGTTCTGGGTCATGAGTTAATGATGACCACAACCGAAGTAATCTTTAGCAACTAAAATGGTGCCTAGTTTATACTTTGGAATTTAAAAGAAGAGTAAAGCCACAGTGTCCCCAAAGAACATCAGGGCACCTACTGCTCCACCACCTGAGCAAGCCTGAGAACTCTCAAACCAGGAAACAGGCTGAGTTTGCTCGAGGACCGGGGATTGACCATGCCTATGCAGAACTGGGGGTTGGTGGAAGTCCGTGTGGCTCAGAGAGAGAGGCCAAATTACACTGGCTTTGAAAGATGTAAGCCAGATGTGGAAGTCTCTCGTAGGCTCTGGAGTGGGAAGTGGCAGGATGAAAGCAAGCTTTTAGGAAGCTCTGTCTAGCAGCAGTGGGCAGGACAGGCTGGAGGGAGGAGCAACAGCCGGCAAGGAGGCTGTGCATAGCTCACTGGCTTCGTTAACTTAAACTAGCTATGAAAACTCTTCCCTTCCTGGTGAGGAAAGTGGATGGTCCCTGAGAATGTCTGGCCCTGGACAATGGGTCACTCACTCTCTGAGAAAACAAACTGATCTCATGTTCCCAGAGATAGGTGCTCAATAAATAAATCACACGTGAATTCATGAATGAAATGTCATCATGGCCACGGCCACAGGAAAGAGGACAATTCTGAAGACTGACTGCTGGAGCTTTAAAAACCACAGCAGCAAACAGGACTGATAAGCTACTTTGTGCCAGGTCATAGCTGATAGGCAATACCGCTTCCAGTCCACTTCCCCACCGCCTGGCCTCTGTCTGAAGTTAAAACTCTTCTGGGGAAACAAAGTGTTGTAAGCTTTTCTTTGTCAACAGATTCATAAATACTGGCATTCATTGGGTGCCAATCTCTGGCAGGATGCCATTCTCTGCTTTTGAAGAGCTGAGGAAAGAAATAGAGACAGACGTGTGATTAGCCATCATTCAAGGCAGAATAACACGTGACCTGTAAGAAAGGTAGAAGGGGCTGGGCATGGTGGTTCACACCTGTAATCCCAGCACTTAAGGAGAACAAGACACGTGGATCGCTTGTGCCCAGGAGTCTGAGACCAGTCTGGGTAACATGGCAAAACTGCATCTCTACAAAAAATATGAAAGTTAACTGGGTGTGGTGGCACATGCCTATAGTCTCAGCTACTTGGATGGCTAAGGTAAGAGGATGGCTTGAGCCCAGGAGTTGGAGGTTGCAGTGAGCCAAGATCATGCCACTGCCACTGCACTCCGGCCTGGGTGTCAGATTCCATGAAAGAAAGAGAGAGAGAAAGAGAGAGAGAGGTGAAAGAAAGAAAAGAAGGTAGGTAGTAGAAGGGATGTGCTTAAGAGAACAGAGCCAAGAACAATTCATTTGCTCATGCGACAAATATTTGTTGAGCAATTGCTATGGACCAAGCACTGTTCTAGGCATGAGGGACTCAGCAGTGAGCAAAACAGACAAGTTATATCTTCAACTAGTCTTCATTTCATGGAGGGGCGGGAGGAGACAGAGAATATACAAAATATGTCAAATATAGCATATGTTAGAGGTGAGACATGCTTTGGAAGAAAAGAAAGCAAGGAAGGAGGACAGGAAAGGTTGGAAGGCTGCATTTAAAACAGGGAGATTCAGGAAGGCCTCACTGTGGAGGTGATAGTGAAAAAAAGACTAGGAGGAGGAGAGGGAGCCTGCTACGTGAAGGTGAGGGCGGGAGAGCTGGTCCGCTACTTTCCAGGGTTTCCAGAATTCTTGTCCCAGCTCCGCCAGGGGAGAAGTCCCCATGGCACCTCCACAGTTTATTTCCCACAAGGAGACCTAAAAGAATGCATCTCTGACACTTACTGTTATTAATTTTACCTATGTTTTCCCTTTCCCAAGTTCCTTCTCCTTGAAATAACCATGTGCAATGGAGAATGTAGTTATTATTGCCTCTGTTCTAGACAGCAATAAGCTCCTGACTGGTCTCCCTGACCCCAGGCGCTTCTGTTCCAATCCACCTCCTTCCTGATGAACGATCCATCCACCTTCCCTTTTTTTTTTTTTTTTTTTTGAGACAGCGTCTTGCTCTTGTCACCCAGGCTGGAGTACAATGCCGTGATCTCAGCTCACTTCAACCTCCTCCTCCTGGGTTCAAAGCAATTCTCCTTCCTCAGCCTACCGAGTAGCCGGGATTACAGGCATGTGCCACCATACCTAGCTAATTTTTGTATTTTTAGTTGAGACAGGGTTTCACCATATTGGTCAGGCTAGTCTTGAACTCCTGACCTCAAGTGATCTGCCCACCTCGGCCTCCTAAGGTGCTGGGATTACAGGTGTGAGCCACCATGCCTGGCCAGATTCCTCTTTCTAAAATTAATTTGATCCTATCTCTCCACTGCTCGAAAACTTTCAATGGCTCCTTACTGCCTTCAGGATAAAACCCAGACTTCTTAACATGGTGTTTAAGAGTCTCCACAGCTGCCTTCACTCATCCTGCCTTCCACCTTGCCTTTACTCCCTGGTACCCCAGGCACACCACGCAGCTCCATGCCTCTGCCTGAGCTGGGCCAGTGCCTACCTCCCCACCTGCATTTAAGTGCCACCTTAAATGCAACCCAGTCTACCTTTGAAGGTGTCTCTATTGTAACATATATTATCTTCCACCTGGCTCTTCCCCCAGATGGTAATCTCCTTAAAAATAAGTACCAGGCTGGGGACTTGCTGTTTGTGGGACTGAGAATGCATTCATTCACAAGTATGTATTAAGCCTCTACTAAGCCCACACTGTGCTGGAGGCCCTTGCCCACCTGGAGCTTAATGTTTAATCAAAAGCTAAGTCAGGAGGTCAGGAAAAGGATAAATAGTAGCACAGTGAATAGGTACATGCCCCAGGGGCTCAGGCCTCTCCCCGGCAGGAGAGGGTCAGACAGAACCCAGAAATGTCCTAGGACAGGCTCAGACAAGACAAGGGGGAGGCAGCCTGACCTGGGGGCTCCTTTGAAGGGCACTTGTGAAAGCTGGGTCAGCTAAGACTAGTCTGCAGGAATAACCCCCTAGCATTAACCAAAACTGTCCTTAAGGCATTCCTGACACCCGCCAGAGGGCAAGTGGGGATCTTGGCTTGGGGGGATCACCAAGTGCTGACTGCATGCTCTTCCCCTCTGCCCCCCATGTCCTTTCAGATGTCAACCCTCTGCGCAAATCCCGTACCCCCATGGAGACCTTCAGAAAGGTGGGGATCCCCATCATCATGGCACTGCTGAGCCTGGCGAGTATCATCATTGTGATTGTCCTCAGTAAGTGACAGCCCCCACCCGACTTTCACCCTCTAAGTAAATGACAGGGCCCACTCCCCGCAACCCCGCACTCACTCCCTGAATAAGTGACAGTCCCCCACCCCTCCCTCACCCCCTCAGTAAGTGGCAGCCCCACCCCTACCCTCATCACTTCAGTAAGTGGCAGCCCTACTTGTCTTTCACCCCCTCAGTAAGTGGCAGGCCCCACTCCCACAGTCAGGGGCAGATGATATGCATAAAGCTTTGCAGAAAAAAAACTGTTGGCATAATAAAAAGGAATTTCAGAGGCTGGGTGCGGTGACTCATGCTTGTAATCCCAGCACTTTGGGAGGCCTAAGCGGGCAGATCACGAGGTCAAGAGTTCAGGACCAGCCTGGCCAACACAGTGAAACCCCATCTCTACTACAAACACAAAAATTAGCTGGGGTGGTGATGGATGCCTGTAATCCCAGCTGCTTGGGAGGCTGAGGCAGGAGAATTGCTTGAACCCAGGAGGCGGAGGTTGAAGTGAGCCAAGATCACACCACTGCAGTCTAGCCTGGGCAACACAGCCAGACTCTGTCTAAAAAAGAAAAAGGAATTTGAGGAGGAAAAAAAGAGAAAGAGAGAGAGAAAAAAATAGAAAGAAGAAAGAAAAGAAAGAAAGAAAGAAGAAAGAAAGAAAGAAAGAAAGAAAGAAAGAAAGAAAGAAAGAAAGAAAGAAAGA